TCACTATCCTCTTGTTTTTCCATAACACTTCTCACTAGTATTATCTGTTTTACCTTTTTACTAGTTGCTTGCCCAACCCCCTTCAACCTAGCTTCTGCAAAGACAAGGACCTTGGTTGTCTTGCTCAACGTCTGCCCTCTCAAAATCCCTTGCTTAAAGAGTAATTCGTGGCACCCAGACTGGAAGAGTTCATCCAAACAGGAAGCTATGAAAGATTTTTGGAGCGGGGAAAATGTGCACAAGTCTGAGGGCAAAACGCCATAGCAGGTGGCTCGTGCTGGTGGCAGACGGAATGCATGTAGTATTGGGTCCTCTAGAGCCTAGAGACAATATTGCCCTCACCCCACTCCGTGAGAGCAGGGCAGGCTTTTCGCCCCGACAGGAGGATCGAACATTAGGAGGGGATGTCTTGCACCTAGAAAGCTCTGGCTGACCGCTCCGACTCCCAGACCCCAGGCGCGGGGGCATCTCCCGGCTCACCTCAGCGCTCCAGCCGCAGTCTCCCTGACCGAAAGGCTGGGGTCCAGCAGCAGCGGTCCGAGCCGGCGTACTGCATCCCGGCGGGCCAGGTCCGCGATCGCCGGGCGCTGCTGCACCAGCCGGGCCAGCCCCGCGCAGGCGCATTCGCGGACCTCGGCGCTTGGGTGCTGGAGCTGCGGACAGAGCCAGGTGTCAGAGGTGGCGCAGTGCGCACGCGCGTCTAGGTCCACCGCCCACCCCGAGTCCCCGGGCGTCAGCCAAGGGACCTTCTCTCACCCTTTCGAGAAACTCTGCCACTGGCCCGTCGTCTTCCTCGTCTCCAGTCCCATTTGCCGCCGCTGCTGCCTCAACCTGACAGTTGCCTGTAGGGGAGAACTGAGGTCGCTTGAAGCGCTTCGTCCGGCTTTTGCCCATGGCGACGTGCGCTCTGGTGAAAAGCCGACCAAGGAAAGCAACAGCACACAGTGAAGGTGGCCGAACTGGTGATAAGGCCTGGTCGCCAAGGGATATTCGTGTCTACTCTGACGGCCTGAACACACATGGAGAAGCTGCACGCATGCGCGCAATACGTCGCCGGAGGGGGCTGGCGCGAGAAATGCGCAAGCGTAGAAGACAGCGTGGGCGGGCCAGCCCTGTCGGGAGGCGGAGCCCTGTGGATTTTTCTGGGAATAGCATTAACACCCGCCCCACCTCCTTAACTGTTAGGTAAACTCTGTGCGGAAGAAAAGTTCCATCTCATCCTGACTCTACCCTCAAAGGGTTGACTTTTCCAAGGGAAAGCATTAACTTTTAACTTGTATAGCATATTTTAATAATCACAGAGGTATAGCTCCTTTTTTTTTTTTTGAGACAAGGTCTCGCTATGTAGATCAGGCTGGCCTTGAACTCGCAGTGATCCTCATGCTTCAGCCTCCTGAGTGCTGGGATTACAGGCGTGAGGCCCTAGGCCCAGTTTAAAAGATGTTGGGGTGGGGGTGGGGGGATGTTGGTATGAGTATCGAACTCAGGACCTTGCGCTTGCAAGGTAGGTGCGGTGCCCGAGCTAAATCCCTGGCCCCTAAAAGATGTTTTAAAGAAAGCTAGTTATCTAGTGGTTGTTGGTTGAAATGGTCCTGGTCAATTTGTGTTGTAGGATATTTATATCTTTGCCCTTGCAATCTATTGCCTGTTTTGATGAACAGTCTGTAAATGGAAAGGAAAAAAACAGCAAAAAACTGGATGTAGTGGTACATGCCAGAACTCCAGGAAGCTGAGGCAGGAGGATCAAAAGTTCAAGCTCAGCCTGAGCAATTTAGTAATTTAGCAAGACCCTGTCTCAAAGTAAGAAATGAGAGACTGAGGGTGTACAAGTGAAAAGGCCCTGGATTCAACCCCCAGGAACCCCCCATCCCCCAGAAAACATACAAACTAAAAACAGGTTGGGGACAAGTCACATCTACTGATAGGATTTACTCCTAATACAGATGGTCCTAAATCCTAACTCACACAACCTTAGGAAAATAAAAAACCCTAAGTGGTTATCAAACACGCATTAATTTCTTTTCTTCCACAGTGCAGTGAAAGCATTTTAAGGCATTCCATTTACCTAAAACTTCTTCACCATGCTCATCGATATTGGTCATTATTATAAATATTGGTAATTATTATTTCTCATTTTAGTCATTTTAATGGGTGAATAGCAACTGGAACTCTCAAATGTGGATGGTAAGAATGTAAAGTAGTACACTTAGTTTAGAAAACAATTTGGTTTGTTTTTTTTTTTTTTGGTACCAGGGATCAAACTCGGGACCTTGCACTTGTGAGCCAGGCGCTGGAACCACTGAGCTAAATCCCCAGCCCAAGTTTTATGTTTTTGGTTGGTTTTTTTGAGGGGGGGTACTGGGGATCAAACTCGGGTCCTTGCACTTGCGAGCCAGGCCGCAGAACCACTGAGCTAAATCCAGCTGGTTGTTTCTTATAAAGCTAAATATACTCAGCCTATGACCCAGCAACTCCACTTCAAGGTAATCCCCCAAAATGAGCATATATCCACCCAGCCTTGTACAAGATGATTCATAGAAGCTGCAGCAGTAGCAGTCAGTGCTTGCCTAGCATGTATGAGGTCTTGGATTAAATCGAAAGTACTGCAAACAATAAAAAATGAAAAGTCACAATTGAAAACCCAAATGCCCATCAATAGGTGAGGGGGTTAAAAAAAAACCCAACATATATATTAATACCGAATTGTTTCTCTAGTGTGAGAAACTGAAAGTGTAAATGACCAAAATGTATAATAGTTAATGTGAAATAGGAAGAAAAGGTCCAAAGGGGAAGGGAAAGAGGAAGAGGAAGGGGGAGGATAGGGGAAAGGAAAGAAGGGAAAGAAAAAAATATGAGAAAAGAAGGAAAAAACGGAAACAGTCTTTGTAAATAGGAAGGGGTGGAGGGTTGACAGGAGGGCAGGGGAATGGGGAAAAAATAAGAACCAAGATACATCATGTAAAGGTACAAAGTCCCAATGATGAATGTCATCATAATGTATACTTAAAATGTACCAATAAACTTAATGAGTAAAAAATGTTGAGAAAGTAAGATTGAAAAATATGGAACTGTACTATTAACAGGATAATTTCATGTACATGGAAGTCTAGAAAAGACTAATCCATAGTGGTAGAAATTAAGTCAGATTAAGACAGCAGTTACTTGGGGCAGGGGCCAGGGGCTAGGGATGGGACCTGCTAAGTCTATCTTTTGAGGGGATAGAAATGTTCTGTATCTTGTGGTGACTGATGCAAGAGTACCACATTTATGAAAACTTTTCAAACTATAGTTAGGATGGATACATTTTATTACATGTAAATTAATCTAACGTTCATTTTTTTGTGCAGAGATGATGCTGGGGACTGAACCCAGAGCCTTTGTGCATGCTAATCGTTGAGGTACATCCCTAGCCCCAGATAATTATAATGGGCACCATTCTGTTTGGGCAGTAAGCTTTCTACTGACAGGGATTCCTCCCCATGTTCCAGTGACTGCTCTAAGAGCTTGCATACTCCAAGCCATGGAACCAACAATCCCATGAGATGAGGGAACTGAGGCACAGAGAAGTTTTGCTGTTTGCCGAAGAGTGTATGATCTGTAAATGACAGAGACGGGATTTAACCTCCACGCGCTCCAGAGTTTGGTTGGTAATAAGTGAAATATACTGTTTTACTTGTTACCTAAGAGCTAGTAAAGTGAAGATTCAACATTTTATTACACACCACCAGGTAAAGGGAGGAACATAGAAAATTTCTTTAAGAGCAGAAGACAGACTCCCAACTTGGGCAATACACTTCCTATTTCTCCCCAAGTAAAACTATTCCATTTAGCACTCATATTTATCACCTTACCAAAAAGAAGTGTTTTCTGCACCTACACAGCTTGAAGTTGTAAAAGGATGAATAGTTAACTCTTGCCTTCCTTGTCTACTTCAACCCCTCTCCGGGAATTAAACCTGTTTCTTATTCTCCCCATAATTCCTACTGACATGCTATTGCCCTCTGGCTTGTCAGTATCATATCCTGGCCTGGTAGGTAAGAACGTCACTCTCCAGTATGCTCCCTTCCATTTCCCCTTTATTGAACAAAAGTGAACCAAATTTTTTTTTGTTATAGGATTTATTGAGACAAGATGTTACTATATTGCACAGGCCAGTTTCTAACTCCTGGGCTCAAGCAAGTCCTACTGTCTCTCGGCCTCCCAAGTAGCTTTGACTACAGGTGCATGGGACTATACCTGGCTGAAATTCTTGATGAGATCTACACTCACTGTTTAAATTACTAGGGAAATGCAAATATTGCTCACTGTTGAATTAGGGAGTGCACCAAACCAAAAGCTCCTTTCTTGCACAACCTTCATTTTTCTTGAATAATTACCTTTTTCATTATCCTGGCTTCCTATCTGTCATTTTTTTCCAAGTGTCTGACATCTTTGTCAATCTCAAACATACTAATTCCAGTTTCTTCCCCAAGATTTCCCTTCTGTCCTCCTGTTCTATCTGGACTGGTTGCTGTCTTGAGAATGCTGCACAGTGCCCTGGACTTCCAATGTGATCGTGTTGGATTCATTTCCTATGACTGTATACGAAGAGATGGTAATGTTCACGGTGATGATTATGTTGGTTTATAGTGGAGCTTGGTGGAAGTTACTCTGTTATTTGAAAGTATTCCATATACATTAAATTTACAAATGTTCTCAGAGGGCTAGCATGTGAGTGGCAGAATGCTTCTTGCCTAGCAGGCTGAGGCCCTAGGTTCCATTCCTAGCCTTTGAAACAGGGTCTGAGTCACGTAAGTTGCCTGTGGTGAGCTCAAACTTGTGATCCTCCTGCCTCAGACTCTCAAAAGTGTAAAAGTCTACATTCTTAATCATATTTTAATAGCTCTTGAATTAAGTTCAATATACACAAGTTGAATACTTTTTCCAGAATGTTTTTCCCAAGCTGGCATCAGGAAATCCTCTCCACATGTATCCAAGATTTGTGTATGTACCGAGGCATATTTTTCTAGGGGACAAGAGTCAAGGTTTTTATTAAATACTTAAAGGAATTCAGAGTTCATAACTCAAAAAACAAAACAAAGCAAACGTCATTAAGGATCTATAAAAATCCCTCTTTCGGCTTTATACTCTTGAAGGAAACTGGCAATCCACGTCTGTAAAGAGCAATATGAGAAAACCTGCACTTCCTAAGAGCCAAATGTTAGTAGACCATGATGAACAAGACATTTAAAGTAATTACAGCTTAATAAACTACTGTATCTACAAGTGCTACTTAACATTTGCTCCATTACACAGAGTTCAAGTAAAATATCTCATTTGGAACTAGCCTGGATCTGATACACAGCATGCTTAAAATTTTTTTCAGAGTTATAGACTTATAAAGCAAAGAAAAAGGCTAATACCTAGTTATATATAAAGTATTTATTTTTATACACATATTTACCTACAAAATTTACAGAAAATAAAACAAAGCAGAATATATAGAATCCCCTCTTAAAACTTCTTAGGAGCAGAGGGTTTTATTGCTGCAGTTCAAAGAATAAAATTTTATACACATGAAAGCCAAATGAACACATTTAAGTTAAACAGCAGCCTTGTTAAAAAGTTTTTGTCCTATTATGAAATTTCAGGTTTATGTTAATTGAAATTTAAAAGACTGCTCATGTAATAATTTAAACCTTTTCAAAGTCTTCTAAACAGGTAAACAGGTAAAAGGCACCTTCAGTACTTTAAAATATTTACAGCGATCCCAATAGTTTAATTTTAAGGGCTATTATAGTACATGTGGGTGTTATGCATACACAGTATGTCATTAACACTCTCTGAACAGTGAGAATTGTAGACTCTAGTTTGTGGCACACTCCCATGTTGTCCTGGTGACAGAGGAGGACGCTCAGTTACACTGTGTAGTACTTGTGTAACAGTATGTCTACCACAGGACAAAACCCAATTATCTAAAACAATGACTATCAAATTCTCAGACAATATATAAGTTATAACTAAACTTCTACATTCAGGATACTTTGGGGTGTTCTTAAAATACTTAAAAAATATAAAGAATATTTAGTGTTAAATGAAAATAAACTGAAAAATATAACCATAATAGTTGCTGCAGTTCAGTTTCTCGTTCAACTAAAATTGTTTCTCAAAACATCTATAATTGCTTACAACATAATGGAGATGAGTTTTCCTCAGTCTAAGCAGAATCTGATGTTTTTCCTGCAGTACATTTTTAGAAGAGGAGTTAAGAATGAAAGGCACACATAATAGCCGGTTTTAAAGAGCTGTGGGGATGGCAAACAGATGTTCCTGAAATACTGGTGCAGGAGAACAAAGTCCACACAACATTTTCTTCTTTGTTTAACATTGGCATTGATTTGCTATTTACAGTAGTCTGCAAAAATACATTATAAAAACTGAATGAGGTTCTGTTTCTAAGTTTAACTTAGTAACATACATACTTCATCTGCAAAAATCTTTGCAGGAGCTGAAGTACTAAAGTGACACTAATACTGAATACAGGTAATCAAAGGTACCAAACCACTGATAACTTGAGTCATCATCATCAAGATCATCTGGGTAAATATTGCACACTTCTTGTCAGTTGTTGCTATAGCCTTCACATATCCAACTGCAAAAGGAATCCTTTATGGCTTTTTGCTATATCACTTATTTGAAGAAAAACTGTTTTAGGTCCTATAACAATGAGGGCAGATTGTCATTGAACATGAGGCCTAGGTTTCAAAATCAGTTTTCCTGTCTGTAAAACAAAAAAAGAGAAAAAAAATTTTTTTCACAGCACACAGTTCTATTAAAAAAATATCATCACTTATTTATATATTTTAAAGGGCATTTTCAGGGAAACAATACTTCTCCATAATCAAGATTAAACAGTTAATAGCTGTATTTCAAATTTCTTTTATGCAGATTGAATTATTACTTTAAAACACACACACAAAACAAGGCTGGGGTGTAGCTCAGTAGTACCATGCAAGCTTAGCCTTCACAAGACCCTGGGTTTAATCACTAACACTAAAAACAACACATACACATAGAAATCACTTAATCCACTGGATAAAATAAAATTCCAAACTAATATAGATTTATGCTTCTTATAAAACAAAGTTTTTAACACATGAAACTTGTTTTATTTTCTGATGGTACTGGGGATTGAACCTATGACCTCTGAACTGAGCTACATTCTCAGCCCTGTTTTATTTTGAGACAGGGTCTCACTAAGTTACTAAATTGCTTAGGCTAGGCTTGAACTTGTGATCCTCTGGCTCAGCTTCCCACAGTGCTGGGATTACAGGTGTGTGCCACCATGTCCAGCTACATAAAACTATTTGGGCAAAACTCTTCTCCTTTCCAATATAAACAAGTTTTAATTTGGACAAGTTAAAAAGTGAATCATGTTGGGTGCAATTACAGCACTTGGGAGGGTGAGGCAGGACTACCATGAGTTCCAAGCTAGCCTGGGCTACATAATAAGACCTTGTCTCTAAATTTAACAACCAAAAAAAAAGGGTAAATAAATGGTTGCAGCAATGAACACTTATACACTGCTGATGTTCAGTATATGTTGGTAGAAACACTTGTGTGGAGCTGAGCTATATTTATTCCCAACATAGCAGCACACAGGTGTATCCACTGCAACACAACACTGTAATTATCAAAAGAATTTAACTTTTTTTTTTTGGTTCTGGGGATTAAACTCAGGTCCTTGCGCTTGTAAGGCAGGTGGCGGCACCACTGAGCTAAATCACCGGCCCTCATGTATGTATTTTTAAGAGTCAGGATCTTGTACTTGCCTGGCACACTCGAGGTCCTGGGCTGGATCCCCAACTCCACAAAAAACAAACAAACAAACAAAAAGTAGGGTCTCACTTGTTACTATGCCACCTAGGCTAACAGAAAACTCTGGGCTCAAGCAATCCTGCTTTAGCCTCCCAAGTAGCCGAGACTACAGGTGTGTACCATCATGCCGAGCTCTCTGTCCACACTGTATGATTACTGGCCATTTGTATTTTCATTTCTGTGATATATTTTTCTCCAGTTATTATTTTGTGGGTGTGGTACTGGGGCTTGAAGCCAGGGCCTTGTGCATGCTAGACAAGCGCTCAATCATTAAGCTATACCCCAGCCCACCATTTTTCAAATGTACTGGGGTTTGTCACTAATTTTTACTAGGTCTTTTACTATTCCAGATATTATCTTCTATTACACAATATGTAAATACTTTGATTTTTGTTTTTCTGAGCCAGGGTCTTACTGCCTGGCCTCGAACTCACAGTGATTTTCTTGCCTCAGTTTCCCAAGTGCGAGGATTATAGGCATGTGCCACCAGGCTTGGCTCATAAAAATACTTTCTTCTAATCACTGCTGCTAATCACAGGGTCTCACTAAGTCACTCAGTTGCCCAGGCTGGGCTCAAACTTGTGATCCTCTTGCCTCAGCCCCCTGGGTAGCTGGGATTACAGACATGTACCACCACATACCAGGTGTGTTCAGTCTTTATTCTATTCCAGTTATTTTCCTGCTCTAACACTTTTCTTGAAGGTGCCAGGGACTGAACCCATGGCCTTGTGCATAGTAAACAAGGTCTCTACCATTGAGCTACATCCCCCAATACATTTTTTTTTGGTACCGGGGATTGAACTCAGGATCTTGCCCCAATACATTTTTAAACATTTATTCTAATTTTATATAATGAATTATTTTAAAATTTTTAAAAACTGAAGGTAAAAAATACTTTTATAAATAAAACAAGCAGCTGAGTGTGGTGGTGCACACTTGTAATCCCAGCACTCAGGAGGCTGAGGCAGGAGGATCACCATGTGTTCGAAGCCACCCTGGGCTACATAGTAAGTTCAGGGCCAGCCTGAACTACAACGCAAGACCCTGTCTCAAAAATCAATAAATCAATAAATCACATCGAAATAGAAAGTAATAATCAAGGGGTCAGGGATTTAGCTCAATGGCGCCAAGCCTGTCTTGCAAGTGCAGGATCCTGAGTTTGATCCCTGGTACTGAGAAAAAGAAAAAGAAAGAAAGCAAACAAGCAATAATCAAAAATGTGAGATACTCTTAAAATACACTGGTTCATGATCTACTGTTTAAAACACAGTAGGTCATGTATGCAGTCTACAAATTATGACTTTATTTCACAAATGATACAAATACCAGGGGATAAATAACAGTTTATATAATCAACATCTCTTGAGCCATTTTTGGTCAATCATGATCACCGTACTTTATTGAATTTAAGATGGCATCAGTTATATCATGAGTTTATGTCATTAAGAAAGATTAAATTGTTAACTGTGCTGATTTAATTGTTAGACACCATTGTAAGATGCATCTCAACCTCAGAGATGTTAAAATGTAAAAGTATCTCAGAATCAGTGCTTAAGGGATAGTCTATTAATGCCACAGATAAAATCTGTTGTTAATAAAATGTCATTTTCTAAAGCTAAACATTTCAGTTCTTTTTGTGGGCCTATAATTTTTTAATGAAAAAATAATACTTACATCATCACAAGACATATTGTACTCTGCTAATATCGTTCGACACCGAGCAGCTATACTGAACAAATGTAGTCAAGAAAAACTTTTCATTTCAACAGCAAGCGTCTAACAACCATCCAAATCATTTAGAAGGAGCTTTCTTTTATGTTAAAGGATACATTGATGGTGCAACTACTCTCTTGTGTATTCCAGCAAAGAACAAGCCTATTAGAGTGATACAGCTAATGGTGAAAAATGGATGGTTCCATAATGATGTGAAGAAGGATACCTAGAAAAGAAAAGTTTAAAATAGAAAAATGTTAAAATCTTGGAATCATACTGATTCCTACCTGTTGTGCATAAATACATGTATTATTTTTATCATCTAATAGGTATGTTGTAAAAATAAAAATGTATCCTTTGTAATGTCTACATGGCAAAACAATATAGCAACATTTTCTCCATTTCAAATACTTGGAGCTGTTACAAATTCATTTTTATACTCAAAAAACAACCTCACCTAAAATATTAACTAAACTCTGTTTAACTAATGAGGATGAGGGCTCGGGATATAGCTCAGTGGCACCACACCTGCCTGGCAAGCGCATGTCCTAAGTTCAATTCCCAGTAAGGGGTGGGGGATGAGGATGAGGCCAATAGCCTCAAAAAAAATTCAAGTCAAATGTGATTTAGCTAACTTTTCTGTTAAAAAGATTCCTTAAGAGAACTGGATAAGCTATCATTCATAACCTGATCCCGGTCTAATCTTTATTTCCTGCCACATTTTTTAGACAGTATTTTTTTTTTTTTTATACTGGGGATTGAACTTGGGACCTTGCGCTTTCGAGGCAGGCGGCAGCACCACTGAGCTAAATCCCCAGCCTTCCTGCCACATTTTTTATGCTACCTTTCCCACTTACTCCTACACACAATCTTTGTAAGACTCAGCTCCAAAATCATTCTTCCTCCTTGAAGCAAAGAATGAGTTTGGTTTTGAATCTACTGAGATTTTGATGGCCACAGGATATTCAAACAGGGAAAAACAATTAGTATTCCATAAAGAATTAGAATTCACCAGAAGTCAGAGCAATCTCAGATACTTGGGAGACTGAGGCAGGAGTATCAAAGCAAATTCAAGGGCAGTCTGGGCAAATTAGCATGTCTCAAAACAAAATTTAAAAAGGGCTTTGGGGATATAGCTCAGTGGTAGAGTACAAGGCTGGCATGACTGAAATTCTGCTTGATCGCTGGCACTGAAGAAAACAAGAAGTCAAGAGAAGCAAGGGCTTATTTCAGATCTGGTCATAATCAGATGATATAAAGTAGGACAATACACAATTCTAAGAGTACATAGAAGACCAAGAGCCCACAATGATCCATGACTGGAACTACAGAGGGGTGAAACCAGATGACTGGGCAACAGAAACAGACTGAAGAGAGAGAAGACAAGCATTTAGAGCAGCTAGAAAAAGAAATCAAATGGACTAGTAACTAGATGGGAGTAAAAGATTCAAGCTAAGCACATCCCACTCAAACACCAGAGAGATGTGCTGTTTTAAGATAGAAAACTAAACACATATACTTGTTTCGAGACAGAGAAAAACACTAGGTAGATGTTTCAGATCAAATAAAGGAATAAGAGGCTAAAAATATGTGGAGGGAAGAAGCTCCCCAGATGGTGAGACTCTGAGGAAAAGTTATTATTCCAGAGGCATAAAACTTAAAACTTGGAGGACAGTTTAATTCCCATACGCCAGTGCTGCGGTCTGCACCAGGTCAGCAGATACAGTGCTTTATGTGTTCGTATTAATTAGCTCAGTCAGTATTAGCCCCCTTTCCTCCACGACAATAAAGGTAACCAAAGAGCAGTTGTCCCCTTGGCCAGCACCTGCCATGCTCCTTCTCACCTAAGCTTCTTGCAGCCACGTGCTCCCCCTACTCTTTCCCAGGTAGCCACTGACTTCTATGCTTACAACTCCCACTTTAGATACAATTGCTCGGTAAAGCTGTAATCAGGTTTGGGATTATTAAATACTGAAATAAAAAGAGCCAACCCTAAGGCTAATGGTGATATTCTCACCTAATTTAGAAAATTATGTTAACTACATAGTTTGGGGCCTATTTCAAATTACATTTAATTCTGTGTTTTATTAAGATCTCAACTAGCTGAAAGCAGCTTATATTTTTCCCAATTAGAAGTCAGACTCATTTCCCAAGACAGACTTTTTCAATCTTCTTGCCAGCCTCTTTCCACTCTTCCCCTAAAGATGAGTACCAAGCACATCCCTCAGATCAGATTTTTATAAATGAGCACACAGGAGAGTTTTCTGTCTGCCATAAAACCCCCTCTATTAACATAAAATTCCATCACCAATCTCCCCAGGTTCCTAGTCTTTTGTATCTCCCCCTCCGTGGCTAGTCAGGGAGACTACCTGCTACATAAAACCTTGGCTGTCTGAAGCATCATTCAGACTGATTACAACAGCCTTACTATTAGGTTTTTCTTCTGTATAACCTAAAAGGTTAAAATAAAACTAAGTGACACAGTCTATTTAATTATAGTTTCAAGAGAAGGAGCAATTTTTAAGAGTTATGAAAATTATAACATTGTCACTACCTAAAACTATACTGGGGGAAAACAGTTCACTGAAAAATTGGAGACTACTGCTTCCAATAAAAAAAGGCTTGAGTTTGAAATTAAGGCATAAATTAGTAGAAAGAGGTAGAAATCTGAGAAACATTTTATCAGGTTTCATCAAAGAATGCTTCAAGAGATACCATTATGAAATGTGTTATTGGATTCGGTATAGGGATGTTCTTGCACAATGCCCAATGGGAGATCTCTCAGCGTTTCCTTTATTAAACTCCAGGAAGGAAATTTTAAAGATATAAATGCTGAGAAAGAAAAGCTTTGCTAGCTCAAAAAACTGACACATATTTCTCACAGACAATGAAAAGCACAAAATTAACTGTGACTTCAGTTATTAGGTAAACTCAATTCTGGCAACAGTGCAGGGTCACATGGCCTATACACTAGTGACCTGGTTTCCTTCCTAGTTTTGACCTCCTAGTCTAATCTGGTTTTTACCTGATTATATTTTGCTACTTTGCCATATATATATTTCCTATAAAGTCATCCCAAATGCTTTGTGAGATGAAGAATACTACTAACAAAGATAGCTCCCAGAAGAAAATACTATTAAAAGCTGGCACTGATGACACTAAATGAACAGAGTAGAACAGAGAGAATGTTCATACTGAAATAAAGCAAAAATGAGGTAAGTTCAAACAAATGTAAAAGCGCTACACAAATTGAGAAATGAACTGCAAAATAACTTAAATGGAGTAAATTTCTTAGGCTTTTTCCCTTGCAAAGAAATTTAAATCACAACAGTCAGCCAAAGTTTTCCTTAAGCAAATTAACATAGGGTTTATTTTTAATACAATGATTAATGTCATTAGAAGTTATAGGTTGCATTTAACACTTTACAATTAACGAAGCACTGATATATCCATTACCTTATTTAATCTACTAAAGATTTTAAAACAAAATTTCTACCTTTTGTGTCTCAGGATCTATTAACCAGTTCCAGGCACCAGTAGCTGTACAGACAGATACCACTATAAGAAGCACTGATGAAAGATAAACACAAAATTAGTAAGCAAATACACCCTTCATACTTGATACTACCACCACCAGCCCCTAATAAATGAGAGCCAAGGAATACAACACTGTATTAAATGCAAAATGCATTGGCTGGACTCAGGAATTAGGAGACTTGCCAATGACTGAGGAATTCTCTCAACACTCTGAATTAGTATTTGAAGATATAACTGAAGATATACTGGCTTCCTTATTACTTAGCTAGATGTTATAAGAATGAAGATTAAAAGCCAGGGATGTAATTCAGTGGCACCGCACTTGCCTGGCAAGTGTAAGGTACTGAGTTCGATTCCCGGTACCAAAAAAAAAAAGATTAATGAAATTAAAAGCAAAAACCCCCAAGGTAGAACTTCAATATAAGATTCTATACTTCTTCTTTTTATGCAGTGCTGGGGATTGGACTCAGGGCTTTCACAATGAGCTACATCCCCAGGACTTTTTTCTGTTTTGAGACAGGTTCTTTCTAAGTCACTAAACTGCCAAGGCTGGGCTTCAACTTGTGATCCTCCTGCCTCAGCTTCCTAGTGTGCTGGGATTACAGGCATGGCCATCAAGCTCAGTTCAATATAAGATTCCATTATACAACTTTTACTGTGCTTGGTGCTAATTTTGTAGATGGTAACTCAAGAAAATAAACAACAACAAAAATCTCAACTTCTATTTTCTAATGTAAACAAACTAAACAGAGATTCCTTTTAAAATGCACTGAGATTTCTGACTCAGGAGTTTTCCTTGCAGACAACTGCCTACTGTTGAATGAAAGGAAGTTTAGTGTTAGGAAGTGTGGAATCAGTGTGCAGCAGACCAGTCAGTCTCAGATTCTTACATGACTTAAAGCAGAGTCAGGGTAGACATTGTGGCTAATGGAACACAGAAATGCTGTATTTCTCCTTACTAAGCTAGAGTTATTTTTAAAATTCTAAAAAGATCATAAATAAAACAAGAATAAATGATATTTAGTGTTTTATGACTAAAAATTAATAAAAGGGCACCAGGAACTAGTTAATATTCTGGAAAGGAGGATGTTGCCTCTTAGGACGCAGCAGTTTTTCAAATGTGCAGATCAAGTTTCAAAAAGCTATAGTTTTAGAGATGTACTTTTATTTTACTTATTTTTTTTTTTGGTACCGGGGATCAAACTTGGGACCTTGTGCTTGCAAGGCAGGCGCTGGAACCACTGAGCTAAATCCCCAGCCTATTTTACATATTTAATTTTTTTTTTTTTTTTTTTTGAGACAAGGTCTTACTACAGTAAATAGTACAGGCTGACCTTGAACACTAGGTAGCCGAGGCTGGCCTCGAACTCATGGTAATTCTCCTGACTCAGCCTCCTGAGTGCTAGAGTTTATTTGGGCTTTTTTTTTTTGGTCCCAGGGATGGAACTTGGGACCTTGCACTTTCGAGGCAGGCAGTGGAACCACTGAGCTAAATCCTTGGCACTAATTGGGCTTTTTGAGAGAAGGTTTCGTTATATAACTCAGGCTGATCTGGAACCAGGCTGGCCTTGAATTTGAGATGATACTTCTGCCTCAGGCTCCAGTGTTGGAGCTATAGGTGTGTGCCACCATCCCTGGCATTTTCAGTATTTTTAAAGGAGGTAAGTCACAGAAAAAAAAAATCTCATTTTAGATATTTAATAATAGAATGAAAATTATGTTCTGAACTAAGAACACACTAAACTCAATTTCAATTTTCTGTAATTCTATTATTTCCAGGAAGAAATCTATATTACACAGGCAGGGCTGTTTTTAAATTTTTATTTACTTTTTTTTTTTTTTTTTGAGAGGAGCTCTTTCCATTGTCCAGGCTAGTCTCAAATTCTTGATCTTCCTGTCTCAGCCTCCCAAGGGCTGGGATTACAGGTGTGCACCACATCTGGCTATACAGGCAGTTAAAAATGAAGTAAAATCAAAACAATAGAAAGGACCTCATATACATGCTTTTTACTTGGTATTAAGCTGATGCCATTTATATGTAAGCACTAAGATATGAACTAGAAAAAAAGTTAAGTTTGCTTATCATACTATATTTTATATGACAGCATCACATAAATTTTAAAAGATTCTCAGGTAACAGTGAAACAATTTTGGAGGCAATTTCTAGATAACCCAGACAATCTGAGAAAATTATTACTTATGAATTCTGACCAATCAGAAATCTCACAGTATATGATTAAATCCTTACAAATAGAGATAATAAAAAGCATACACAAAAAAATCTTGACCTAGAAAAGGACCCTTAATGTCAATACTGCTCATCTGGTCCTGAAAAAGTGTTAACTGAGTTACACTTTAAAGTATGTTCTTGGGCTGGGGATGTAGTTCAACGGTAGAACACCATTGTAAGAGGTACTGGGTTTGATCCCCAGTAACAAAAGGAAAAAAATAGGTATATCCTCAATGTGTACTATTGTACTTCTTTCTAGGTGGGAATTAAACTTTAGTAATGAATATCCAAGATACTGAGACTGTTCCAATGCCAGGCATGGCGGCACACTCCTGGCAGTCCCAGCTACGGGTGGTTTGCTCTGAGCCCAGGCTAGCATAGGCAACAGGACGAGACCATGTACACATGCATACGCACACACAAAGGCTGCCCTAATACAGGTGAGCAAAGCATTTTGTTTGATAGTTTGATATCTCATCACTTGAATATTTGTCTACATTTCCTATACGGTATATTTCCATGGGGCAATAACTACAATTCATTCAAGTAATATTTTACAAGAGTCATATTTATGGACAGCAATAATGTGAATTATTTTCTGTATGAGGTTCCCAAGCAGTACAATTAGGCTGCATTAAAAACCAACTAAGGGGCTGCATGTGGTGATACATGCCTATAATCCCAGCTACTGGGGAAGCTGAAGCAGCATGATCACAAATTTGAGGACCATCTGGGAAACTTAATAAGACTTTGTCTCAAAATAAAAAACAAAAATTTTCTAAAAAAGGGTTGGGGGTCATAGCTCAGTGGTAAAGCCTTCCTGGGTTCAATGCCCAGTTCCAGAAAAAATATCAACTAAAGAAAATTTCACAACCTTTGCAAGTATATATTAAACATGATTTTTTTTTTTTGGTACTAGGGATCGAACTCTGGACCTTGTGCTTGCAAGGCAGGCAGCGGAACCACTGAGCTAAATCCCGGGCCCTAAACAGGATTTTTTTCCCCTTTGATGCTAAGGATTAAACCAGGTACCTCATACGTGCTTAGTGTGTACTCTGTCACTGAACTATACCCCCAGAGAAAACAGGAGTTTTCCTTTTTTGAGACAAGGTCTCACTATGTAGTTCAAGCTGGCCTTCAACTCACTAGCCCAGGCTGGCCTCAAACGCGTGACAAATTCCTGCTTCAGGCTCCTGAATGTTGGGATTACAGATGTGTTCCACCACACCTGGTAGGATTTTTCTTTTTCCTTTTGGTACCTGAGATCGAACTTGGGACCTTGCACTTTCGAGGCAGGCGGCACCACCACTGAGCTAAATCCCCGGCTAGGATTTTTCTTAATACAGTAAAACTTTGATAGTTTGTAGGCAAATTATAACACTGCTAATCAAGTTACTGAAATTTGTATTATGTGCATTTGAGGGGGTGCTGAAGATTAATCCACAGCCTTCGCACCAAGCTACATCCCTAACCCTTGCCTATTCTGAGACAGGGTCTCACTAACTCAGTAAATTGCCCAGGCTGCACTGGAACTTGTACTCCTTCTCCCTCAGCCTCTCAGAGTGCAGCAATTCTAAGTATGCACCACCACGCTGACTGCTATATTTTTTAATCAAAGCTATAATATTAATAAAAATTAAATATATGAGCCAGGCATGGTGGGGCATGCCTGTAATCCCAGATGGGAAGCCAAGGCAAGTGAACCAGAGTTTGAACATAGCCTGGACAACACAGGGACACCCTGTCTCAAAAAACCCCCAAAATAAGTAAATAAAAAATGGCTGGAGATGTAGATCGGTGCAAAGGCCCTAGTATCAATCCCTAGCACCACGACAAAACAAAGAACAAACAAAAACCTATCTCCACAGAAAATAAAAATTTAATTACACAAAACAGTTATTTTGCTTTGTTTTTGAGATAGTCTCGCTTATGTTGCCCAGGCTGGACTTGACCTCTTATGTAGTCCAGGCTGGGCTCAAACTCATGATCCTTATGCCTCCCCCTGTCACGTTCTGGAATTACAGGCCTGCACTACCATGCCTGGAAAAACAGGCTGTTCTTTGGGGGTGGCCAGTTATAATTTCCTTTTCTTAAACATTTCTTTGCAATGCATTGTTTATAATATTGAATATTTAAAAATTGTTCAAAGACAAATCTTACGGTTTAATAAAGCAAGCATTTGTTAATCAAAAGTTTTATGAAACAGCAAATCATTCCTACTGAGGGATACAATAAGGAATTTTCAGTTTATTTTGTCTTAAAAAACAGTCAGGAACTTACTTCTCCAACGTCCAGTTGCAGGTTGCAAGCAATGAATATATTCAGTAAGTCTCCTCTCGAAAGCCTTTAGATCTAGGTAAAAAGATTTCAGTTCTCTAATTAGCCATTCTTATTAGACATTTGTCTTGAAACAAATTTTGTTTTTGAGACAAGGTCTGACTATGTAGTTCAGGCTGGCTTTGAACTCACTATATGTAGCCCAGGCTGGCCTCGAACTCATGGCGATCCTCCTGCCTCAACCTGCCAAGGGCTGGGATTACAGGCATTTTAAATACACTATTTCAGATCTTATACCTCAGCTTACATGTATCACTGCAGTGTTTACTACAACAGCCTTAAGCACAACAAAAACACCATGTTTCTTACAGAATTTCCGATTTCACACATAAGTGACTGGTTCATTTCTTTCGAAGCATTGAAAATTGGTGTGTGGAAAATTAATGGCAATGTCACTCGGCACCCAAAGCTAGAATTTGGGGGGTCACAAATGAAAATATCAAAATCATGTACATCTCTAGTTACGTTGGAACCAAGATATTTCTACTAGAACATCAAAATTCTGGAGGTCTTTTTGACAGCAATTACCCGATTCTGGCTTCCGGTCCTTATTTGTAAATAAGGGTAAGGCTGTCTACGCTCACCAGATCTCTTAACGTGTGTGTGGGAAAAGACTGTTCGTTTCCCCTCCCAGTGGGTTACAGGTGATCCTGGCCACACCATCAAAGCGTCGATGCTTTTTTCTAAGACCAGGGGTGTTCTCTTGGATAACAGATCCAAGGTGTCCGCTCTCAATGAGAGGTGGAGTGACGTTTCTGTGGTGGTGTTTTTAAAGTTTAAAAAGACGAAGAAGAACCTCCCAACCTCAGCAGATACCAGAAACCACGGAAAGCATTAAGGATACAACTCGTGGGATGATCGGTTTAAAATGAAAATTAGAATACTACAATGCGCGAGGTGCAAGTGTTCGCTAAAGAACAGAGAACAAAAGTGGAGCCGGGCGAGGAACTCCGCAGTACAAGCTCGGGCTACTGAGGCTTGCGATGCGCTGGCCGGGCCCCAGCGGCCCCCGAGCCACCCCACCCTCGGCGGCCTCTAAAGCCGCACCGGAAGGAGCCCTGGGGCGGGCTCTGGGCTTCCACCCTACCTTCCGCCTGCTCCAGCGAGTTCATGTCGGGCGGCAACTACGGTCACCGCCGCGGCGCCGTCCGCATCGCAGCACCGCGGTCCCAGCCCGGTCCGGAGCGCCAACTCCCACCCTCAACCGCTCGCCTCCGCACCTCCTTGGCGCCCCGCCCTTTGCCTAGACCCGCTAAGCTCATTGGACACTTCTGTGGTACCCTCCGACAAAGACGGTTTCTTATTGGATAATTTCCGCACTGGCCTCGGGGCCCAGCGTTGGACGGTCAGCCGGAGGGGCCAAGAACTGCCGGCGGCCTGGTCGACGCAACGCTGCCGCCGCCTCCTGCCCCGGGGAGGAATTGCAGTCTACCTGTGCAAATTTGTTCATTCGTCATTCGTATATACATCCTCTTGATTGCCTTCTGGGTTCTTTCATTCCTCCAATACTCCTGATTTACCGCCCACTAGCTTTCGGGCAGTATTCTGGTCACTAACGCTAACGAGGGATGCAGAAATCAAGGAACTCAAGGGGAAACAAAATATGTACAGAACTAGATAGAACTCCAAAGAACAGACTTCCTTAATTATGGTACCTCTTTTCCAGACACCTAACCCTTTAAACAAGCATTTCCCTTTCGGTTAATTTCTTCTCACATAATCTATCTTTCATAAATCACAAAGAAGGCAAAATATAAGCCATATTATCGACACCTTTTTAAAAATCTGTAAAGGATTGGCTACATTGATATTTGATTACAATATCGTTTTCCTTCCTGTAGTCATTCTTTCATTCAAGAACTAGTCCACTATGTGTTAGGCACTGCGTCTATCAGAAATACAGGTTATTAGAAGATAGACAAGATTCTTTTTTTTGTATTAAATTCTTTTATTGGTACATTGTGGGTATACAACACAATTACATTTCTCATTGGGAATTGTACCTTTATATAATGCATCTTGGTTCTTATTTTTTCCCCATTCCTAGCCCTCCCTTCACCCCCTCCACCCTTCCCTATTTATAAAGACTTTATTTCCATTTTTTCCATTTCTCAGCATTTTTCCTTCCCCTTCTTTCCTTACCCCTGCCCCTCCCACTACCCCTACCCCTTTGGACCTTTTCTTCCTATTTTACGTTTTCGATTATTCATTCTAATAATTGGCACATTTTAGGTATACAATATAATGACATTCATCATTGGAAATTTGCACCTTTACATAGTCTCTCTTGGTTCTTATTTTTCACCCTTGCCCAGCCCTCCCTTCAACCCCTCCATTCCTCCCTATTTACAAAGATTTTGTTCCTATTTTTCCATTTTCTCATATTAATCCCATTCCCTTCTATCCTTTCCCCTAGCCCTCCCACTTCCTTCCCCTTTGCCCCTTTTCTTCCTATTTCACATTACCTATTATACATTTAGTCCTTATTTACACTTTCAGTTTCTCACACCAGAGAAAGTATTTGGTATTTACACATGTGTGTCCTATTTATTTCACTTAAGAGTATCACCTCAATGTGCATCCACTTAGCTATAAATGTCTCTAATTTCTCATTCTTTATGGCTGAGTAGTACTCCATTTTATTAAAAAACCACATTTTCTTTATCCAGTCTCCAGTTGATGGGCATTTGGGCTGTTTCCAAGTTTTAGCTATTGCAAATTGTGCTGCTATGAACATGGGTACACATATTATATCACTGTGGTATGATTCTTTTAATTCTTTGGGGAAGATCCCCAGCAGTGGAATAGCAGGGTCAAACGGGACTTTCAGTCCTAGTTCTTTGAGGTGAAGATAGACAAGATTCTTGCCCTCAGGGTTGAAGGGTAACATCAAGCAATAAATATGCAAGTACGTAATTGATTTCAGATAAGGGTACTTCTGTATAAGAAGTAACATGGTAAAGATATGTTGAAATAAAGGTTTTCAGGAGCTAGTGTACTGGGAGGTCTTCATGCAGCAAGTACCCTGGAGCTGAGAACCCCAAGGTGGCAGAGAAGAAACCAGCCATTTTCACTATTGGTAATTTTTAAAATTTCATCCTCAACCTTCTTCTTTTCCACTTGCCAGCAAAATCAAAGATAGGGCATTTACTTAGCAAATCTTAATTCTTTTTACTTCCCCTCCCAAGGTGATCTTTTTATTTATTTATCTATTTACTTATTTTTGGTACTGAGGATCTAACTCAGGACCTTAAGCTTGCCAGGCAAACGCAGCACCGCTGAGCTAGATCCCCGGCCCCCAAGATGATCTTTTTAAAGAGAAGGGCCTAAAATCCATTTAGTGAATGATAACATAACTTTTTATTTTTTTTTGCTTCAGGAATCAAACTCAGGACCTTGAGTTTGCCAGGCAGGCACGGCGCCACTGAGCTACATCCCCGGCCCTAACCATTGTTTTTTAAATGAGCTAAACTAAAAGTTAAAAAATAGCATCCTTGGATTTTGGATCATGGCCCTTTTTTCAGGGTATGTGAGAGACAACGCACCGTGTCCTTATCACAATGTAAAGCACGTGTATCTCTAACGGCGTGGGGGAGCTTCCTGTCAAAAAAGTTTTAAAGTTTAAAGGCCACCAAGCTGGTATCCATAGATCAATTCACCACTGAAATGAGTAAAAATGAGTTTGTTCGGATCTCGCAATTATTGTCATTGCCTGGGTGTACACCCGGAGTTAAACTGCCCCTATGACTTCTGGCACCACGTCCCTGGTCTCCGTCTCCAAGTCTAACGGCAGCGCTTCCCCTTGGCATCCAGCGGCGCCCGGAGAATGGCGGTTGAGCACCGGTCTTGAGACGGCTCTGCTCGGCTGGATGCTGGGGAGGCGAGGAGTGAGGTCGCCCACGAACTGGCATTGCCTGCGCCGGGACGGTGGGGGTCTGCCAGCTCTGTTCCCCGCAGGGCGTTGGCCTGCCTGAGCGGGTGTGCTGGTTTGAGAACGTGGGACAGCAGAGAGAAGGGGAAGGGCGATCTCCCCCCGCGTCTTTCCTCTCCTTTCTTCATTTTCAACCGTGTTCACAGAAATGTCAAACATGCCTTTGAAAAGGTGCACTTTATTAGCCTGTCGTTGGCCTATACATATGGATCATGAGGTCTGAGAGGTGATGAGAGAGGAGAGGAAAACAGAGCGTCAGAGTCAGGTTAAGGAATTTGGAATACGATAATAGAGAGACCGAAGGGAACAGATTTGCAGAAACAAAACATTGATGGGATTTCTCAAGAGAAGATACTAACAAGTATTTCAGAAAGCACTGGGACATGAGCAGGGCCTGCAGATCTGGATCACTCCTTCTGCATCTAAGGATAGAGTGTATTGTAAAAACACAAGAAGATTAAACTCCAATGACCTTAATATCAGTGATCAGGTGAAAATCAGCTTCTAAGAGTGATAATCAAGTTACCAAAGCTTGTTATCTTTTGCTGGGGGCCTGGCACACTGTCTTTCGGGAGCGTCTCACACACACACACACACACACACACACACACACACACAGAGTGGTGCGGGGGATTGAACTCAGGACCTTCACACTGAACTACATCCCCAGCCCTTTTAAAAAGCGTTTTTATTTATTTTTATTGTTTTCATATTTTTTCCATTAAGTTTATTGGAACATTTTAGGTATACAGTACAGTTACATTTATCATTGGGATCTTGTACCTTTACATGATGTACCTTGGTTCTTAATTTTCCCCCTTCCCCTGCCCTCCCTTGAACCCCTCCATCCCTCCCTATTTATAAAGACTTTGTTTCCATGTTTTCCTTTTCTCATATTTTTTCTTTTCCCTTCTTTCCTTTCCCCTACCCCCCCCCACTTCCCCTACTCCTTTAGACCTTTTCTATTTCACAATATCAATTATACATTTTTATTCTTATTTACACTTTTAGTTTTTCACACCAGAAAAACTATTCAGTATTTACACATATGTGTCCTATTTATTTCACTTGAGAGGATGGCCTCAGTGTGCATCCACTTAGCTATAAATGTCTGTAGTTTCTTTGTTCTTTATGGCTGAGTAGTACTCCATTTTTATTAAAAAAAAAAACAACAAAAAACCATATCTTCTTTATCCAGTCTCCAGTTGATGGGCAATTGGGCTGTTTCCAAGTTTTAGCTATTACAAACTGTGCCACTATAAACAAGGGTGCACATATATCACTGTGGTGTGATTCTTTTAATTCTTTTGGGAAGATACCAAGCAGAGGAATAGCTGGGTCAAATGGGACTTCTAATACTAATTTTTTGAGGTATCTCCACATTGATTTCCACAGTGGTTGCATCAGTCTGCTTTCCCACCAACAATGAAGAAGGGTTCCTTTCTTCCCACAACGCTGCCGGCATTTGTTATTGGTTGATTTCTTGATAGCAGCCATTCTTTCTGGAGTGAAGTGGAAACTCAGCGTTGTTTTCATGTGCACCTCTCGAATGACCAGTGATGTTGAACATTTTTTCATATGTTTATTTGCTGCTTTTACTTCTTTGTCTGAGAAACGTTGTTCATTTCAGATGCCCATTTTTGAATTGAGTCTTTCTATTTGAGGGGTCTGATTTTTTTTGTTCTTTATATATTCTAAATAGTATACCTTTGAGAAACAGTTGGTAAAATTTTTTTCCCCTTGTGTGTTGTCTCTTTACTCTGTTGGTGGTTTCTCTTGCAGTGCAGAAGCTTTTTAATAAGATGAGATCCCAGTTGTTGATTCTTTGTGCTAGTTCCCGTGCTACTGAGGATTTGTTCATAAAGTTTTTCCTATGCTGATGTCTTTAAGAGTTCTACCTATCTTCCAGCAAGTTTAGTGTTTCTGTTTTAATATTTAGATCTTTAATCCACTTCTATTTTAGTTTAGTGCATGGTGAAAGATAGGGGTCTAGTTTTATCTTTGGCAAGTTGAAATCCAGTTTTTCCAACAGTATTTATTAAAGAGGCTATGTTTCCTCCAGTAAGGATGGTCGGCTCGTTTGTCAAAGATGAGGTAGCTGAGTATGTCTGGAGTTGTTTCTGCATCTTCACGTCTATTCCACTGATCCTCAGGTCTGTTTCTTTGCCAGTACCATGCTGTTTTTATCACAGTGGTAAAAGAGACAGGGTCTTGCTAAGTTTTCCAGGCAGGTCTTGAAGTTGCCATCCTCCTACCTAAGCTTCCCAGAGTGCTAGGAGTACATAGATGTGCCACCACACCTGGCAGC